GCAGTCAGTCGTCGCAGTTGTTTGTACCCTTTAAGAGGAGGAGGAGGAGGAGGAGGAGGAGGAGGAGGAGGAGGAAGGGTCAGAGGAGGAAAGGAAAGGAGGAGAAGGGGTCCTCGATGAGATGACGGCAGATTTCAACATTTTAAGCCAGACTGACGTGACAGCAGGATGGTTCTATCCGCGACTCCCCTGAAGTATACAAGAGCTGTCAGGAGAGGTTCGGAAAGGAGGAGGAGGAGGAGGAGGAGGAGGAGCCTGAGATAGCAACCAAAACGTTAGAGGAGGACAAGAGGATATCGAAGGTAAAAGAAGCTCCTTACTCATCGGAGGGTGCTGAAAATACATCAGAACGTGGTGGAGGAAGGCTATGGGCCGGGGTTGTTCCCCGGAGACGAAGTCACTATCCTCCTCTCAGTAGAGACGTTGAGGGCCCGGGAAGAGAAGGAAAGAGATGATGATGAGATGAGCGATGGAAACACCCGCGAGCTTCAGCAGGATGAGCTCGAGGTGGAGGAGAACAGTGCTCCAAGGGAGCCATGTACGATGCAACTTGCATCTTGATCTGATACTCGTGCTGATTGTGGATCGTGCAGCATTTGTGTCTTTGACCATGGGAGAAGACATTTCAACGGTGTTGGTATGATGACACAGGACGTCGAGCCGCGATGATGTTTGCTGCTTCAGGAGAGGGAAGAAGTGGAGATTGATGGGATCAGAACAGAGACTTGCACGACGATACAGGTCTCATGTTATCTCCTACCGTCTCTTCTTGCCTTTCTCCTGCCTGTCTTGCTCCTCTTACTTTTCTCGGGTAATCAGCAAAGATTTTGTTTGCTTTTGTTTTTGTTTCCACCTCCCCCTTTTCACCTCCTGCTCCCTTCAATTTGTAATCAGCTCTACAGGCTGGTTTGAAGACCATGATTGTTGGGGAATGCAGCGCATTCTTCATGATCGTGGAGCAGAATGATTTCGAACTCGTTGAGAATTACACAGGATCGTACAAAATTCTGTTCGTACAAATCAGAGTTGTGGCTAAGAATTTGCAACCCCTGAACAATCTCGAGGGGATTTGGGCCAAATTTGATCATCCTTACGACATATCAAATCAAGAGAGTCCCAACTTAGGAGACATTGGTAATGTCAGGAATGACGGGATGAATATGGTGGTCGAGGTGGTCCAGGGGATGATGATGATGATGATGATGATGATGATGATGATGATGATGATGATGATGATGATGATAGTAATTACAGAGGGATGTATATGATGTTGACCTAATTGTAGGGAGCTCGGTTGTTCTGATGAGTTGATTTTATGCAGTTGTCTTTGAATACAACATTTCTTTCCGTGGACAGGTGAATTCGACATATCGTTTTCACTCTCCCCTTTCCTCGACCTAATTTTCCTTTTCTTCCTGTCCTGTTCTCAATCTGTTGATTTCTTCTCCGATACCTTCTCTTCCGCTTCTCTTACCCCTCGCCCTTCATCTGAAAACACACAGGTTGTGATACAATCCGACAAATTGACTGAAAGAGACCTGGGGGCGGAAGATGATCTGGTCGAGATACACAGTGAAGGGGTTGGGCACTGAAGGCAACTTCAGATTGAGGGGATCAGAATCGCTCTGTCGTCCAACATGCTGCAAGGATCTCGTGTCAAGATGACGCTGGTGAGATGGGGGGAGAACATTGGAGGAAGGGGTAAACAGGGGCTGGGAGATAAAGCGAAGGGGCTGTACAGTCACAAGGCTGGTTTCTAAATGTCGTTCACAAACTGACAAATGTTTGGTTCTACAGCATTCGTCGTTTGCTTTTGGCGAGGAAGGAGTGACAGGTCTGAGGAAGCGGAGGGGTAGAAAGAAGTGTGGTGGAATTAGCATTGTTTGTGGAAGCAAGAAGCAGGAGGAGCAGGAGCAGGAGCAGGAGCAGGAGCAGGAGCAGGAGCAGGAGCAGGAGCAGGAGCAGGGAAAGCTTGTACTCACAAGGATGCAGGATGTGTTCCTCCTGATGAATTCGTTGATGTCGATCTGGTGTTGCTCTACTGGCACAGGGTGACGTTAAGTGCTTCTGATCTCACTGGCATCTCAAGCGCTGCAGAGGTCGAGTTTTGAAGACGGCAAGGTCAACGTCACGGAAAAAGGACATGTGGGTTCAAGCTTACATGTTATATTGACGCCAAAGATGATTGATTGTTGATGATGACGATGACGATGACGATGATGATAATGATGATGACGATGACGACGACGATGACGATGAAGATGATGATAATGATGATGATGACGACGACGACGATGATAACTACTATGAGGAAGCAGTGGATTTGGTTCTTATCATGCACTTTTCCATGATGGGACAGAAGGTGGTCAAAGCTTTTGGAAGTCTTGATGGTTTTGTGCAGGTAGCTAGACACCCAAATCGAGCTGTCTGTACAGATGGTTCACTTGTACATCTCAGATTGTTTGCCTACTGTCACAACATTGTACTCGTTTATCTTCACCTTCCTCCCCTTGATTCTCCCCCCAGGGTGTTTTTGGAAACCCTTATGCTCCCGCGGAAAAAATTCCTAAGGTCCTGAGTTGTTTCATGATGCTCATCCTCCCCGTATCCCTTCCTCCTCAACTTCCTTCGTCCTTGCCTTCCTCTCCTTTCTCCTGCTCTTTCTGTCTCTCCTCCCCCTCCCTCCTCCCTCATTTCCTTCTCCCACATATTCCGCTCCAGTCTCTTCCTGCGTCCCTATTTCTGTATGGTTTGATTTGAAACAGGAATTGCTCGACTATCAGTCACTCCCTCAGTACCAGCACTGCGAGGCTGTGAAGCTCGCAAAGGTGCTGACATGCGGGAGAGCTGGGGATCGTTGTGAGGAAAGCAAGCAGATGGGGAGGGCAGGAGGAGGAGGAGATATGGAGGAGGAAAGTTGAACACCCGACAGGACGTTGCGGCTCTTCACGAGCAGCTAGGGGAAGGGATGGGGATCTTTCACAAGGCAGAGGTGAGAAAGACGAATGTCAAGCAGCTGGGGCGAGGAGGAGCGGGAGGAGACGAGTTGAGTGCAGTACAGGACGTCACTGCAGTGATTGGAGACGGAGATCTTCCGAGGGGCCTAGAGGTCGCGCTGCTCAGTGGAAGGATGCAAGAGGTGAGCAAAGCACCAGTTGCGATCTTTCGTCCTCCTCCTCCTCCTCCTCCTCCTCCTCTTCCTCCCATTGCTCCTCTCCCTTCCCCCTCTCTCCTCCCCTTCTCTGCTTCCTATGTCTCTTTCTCTCTCACTATGTTCTTGTTGTCTTGTAGGGTGTCCAAGATAAGATTGATGTCTCCCCTGCCTTCGCCTTGTTCCCACTACCGGGTTGGCGGCTGGAAGGTATTCTCCTCCTCCTCCACCACCACCACCA